CCTAGAATAATGAAATTTTATTATTGCTCAATTAGTTAAAATAAAATGATTGTTTTCAATTTTTACATATATTATTAGCAGAAAATGGCATTTATTTAAATATTCAGACTTTCAAGAAACATGTTGAAGAATGCATTTTGATTTATATATTTATTTCTGTAGAAAATAATCCACCAAATCTTTCAAAAGGAACTTTAATTGGTTCTTTCTCTAAAAGGACCACGCATATAGCTGAAATCATAATTCATCTCCCATTTTGAATCTTGCTCTTTATAGGTGAAAATGTGGTTTCTATTAACTTTGGCTACATGATGGTTACCTGGGTATTTCATGTATTCTAGATTTTCATTTTATTGGCTTTAGAACCATAAGCAAACTCATGATAAGAAAGCAAGTTTGCCCTAACTGGTTTGGCTCAGTTGATAGAGCGTCGGTCTGCAGACTCAAGGGTCCCGGGTTCGATTCCGGTCAGGGGCATGTGCCTTGGCTGCGGGCGCATCCCCAGTGGGGGGTGTGCGGGAGGCAGCTGATCGATGTTTCTCTCTCATCGATGTTTCTAGCTCTCTGTCTCTCTCCCTTCCTCTCTGTGAAAAGTCAATAAAATATATTTAAAAAAACAGCCATACTATATATTTGACTCAGAGGTTCAGCTTTAGCTATGGAAACCCTCTGTCCCATGTTTATTAGTTTTATGTGTACAAGCACCTCTCAGTGTCCCAAGTATGGGAGAGAGAGAGAGAGAGAGAGAGAGAGAGAGAGAGAGAGAAGGAAGTAGAGGTATATACTTAAATTGAAGGGCACGCACCAAAGTGGCTTTGAAACAATGCAGCTGTCCGTACCTGCAGTGAATGAAATCTGGGACTGGGTTATATTGGCTGAAGGAGGCCGCGTCAAGGCTCATGCAAATCTCCACATTGTCCCCCGCCATGATTCGCACTGCGGCCTTGTTTTCATCCTCAAAAATCTGCCATTGTAAGGAGGCACACAGAAGCAGCATGAAGTCATCTGGCAAGACAGAGGTAAGATCATTAAACCTGGGTTTACAGATGCAGGTCACAGTCCCCATACAGCAGGAGCTGCTCCTTAACTCTCAAGGGGGCTGTGTTCCTAAACTGGATTCCGATGTTGGGGCCAAATCCCACCTTCCTTACCATGGGGGGTGCATGAGGAACCACAGACATTCCAGGGGCATGAAGTGGGAGAGCCCTAGAATTGTGTCTGCACGTTGGTGAGTGAAAGTGTCAGGTGCCAATTACTGGCCTTCAAGACTCTCTTTATTTGCGCTTATCTCCCACCAATGTTTTGAGGCGGCCATTTGAGCATTTCCCCCATCTTAATCTTTTTACACGTGGTAGAGCAGACATTTCTGATTTTCTCTATCATTTCCATTCCCCTTTACATTTGTGATCAGAGACTCTTCCCAGAGCACATACTGTAGTGAAGGCTGGGTGACCGCAGTGGACAATTATGGGTCCATTCCTGAGAGTGGAGACATCTGATGGAGCGGTCCTGGTGGCCAACAGCCCAGAACAGACCCTCTCTCCAGCCAGGGAGGCAGCCTCCAGCCTAAGTTGCCTTGTTCTTTAAATTAAATCTGCATGTGTTTAGGCAGCTAAGCTGCTCTTTGGTTTTCCACTGGATCCAGCACTCTCTGGGTGGGGGTGGGTAACCTTGACCTTTGGATGATCAGTCTGCCCTTGAAAGGACTTGGGGCTGGGGCCCAGCTCAGGAGCCGGGGCGATCTGAGTAGCACCTTCCTGGCTAGCACAGTCTTATCTTCAGATTTGGTTTGTGGTGGCAGCTAGAAAAACGGATTCACAAAATACAAGGCCTCCCTCCTCACTCTACCTTCTAGAAGGTGGGTGTGCAGGGGCGTGTGCTGGGGGGCAGAGTGTGTGTGTTGGGAGATAAGTTATGAAAGTGAATATGGTATTTCAATGTTTATTAATTTTTCAAATGCTTAATAGGACAAGTAGAAGCCATTAATGACCCGTGATATTAATGCATCAAGACAAGCCTTTCGCATGATTAGAAAGAGCAGTGGAAGAAGCAAAGGCACTAATGCCTAATGCATGAAGATGGGTTAGCAAACATAAAACCCAACACCAGTGCTCTGTGGCCCCAAGGCTGCAACACTTACAGACGAGAAACACGGGGTTGGGCCGCACAATGAAGTCTGGGAAGTACAGCCACTTTATGATGTTGTCATTGAAGTTGGCACCCTTGAATCTCCATGGGTAATCTGCAGGGAGGGAGGTGGTGAGGAGCAAGATCAATAAGCTTCTTTGCTGCCCTTTGCCCACTGTGCCCAAGGTAAGGGTGGCTCATAAGAGCAGCTGCTCCTGGGAGGCCACACACCTCTGCAGGGCGCAGGGGGGATGCCGATGCAGATGAAGTACTGGAAAGTGATGATGCAGGCCAGGAAGCAGCAGTACTTGGGCCAGATCTCCGCGATGGCTTTTCTTCTGCGTCGATACAAGACGGCGATCAGCCAGCAGGCGTGAGTCATGGCATAGAAATCCATCCGCTGACCGATTACATTGACTGACAGTAGGAAACAGGTCTGCGTAAGGAAAAAAGAGGCAAAAAAATTGGATTTAGACAGGGAAGGGAAGTGGTGTCAGCTATCAGCCCTTTGCAGAGGCAGAGACCTGCCTTCCGGAGGTAGGTTTCTCTGCACATGTTCACCAGGTCTTTTCTTGTTACGTCTTTAAGGGCGAAGACGGAGATACTGTACAGATTAGACACAGGTACTGTGCAGATTACTTCCGAGGGAAACACTGAGTACTTCCCTATTTACAGGAACCACTTCCATCATGAAGAGAACTACAGGTATGATCTCTTCATGAAAGTCACTGTTTCAAATTCATTCTACTGAGGAACAGGCACTACCACAGCCATTTCAGGTCAGATGGTTCATTTTGGCTAAGGTTACATTTCCAAATGCAGGAAACAGGAAAAAAAAATTACAGCATTTCCGGTTTATAAGGAACCAGTTACAATGACAAGTGACAGGCATCCATGTGTCTGTAGGGCGACAGAGACCCAGAGAGGCAGAGTTCCCTGTTGCAAGGGGGCCATTGGCACGTGGTGTTGGAAAACTTTCAGCCAGGCCAGGTAAGTCCTTCAGTAGCATCTTCTCCTGCTGATCCCGAGGATCAGTCATCATGGCCAGGAGGTTCAGGACGGAACTCCTGTGGCCAACTGGCCAAAAGCAGCTATTGGGATTGTCACAGAAAATAGAAAACACACTCGCAAGGAAACTCACCTCCAGACCAAACTTGTAGAAGAAGTAATTTATGAAATATTTGGCACAATTAATAATTCCATCATCCAGATGGTGTCTTGTAATGTCATGAAAGATGGTTTTAGATACAGGGGCCGTGAGGTTGTTTCGTCCCCGGTAGTACTCCTGATGGCGGTACACTGTGACCTCAAAGGCCAGAATGGCCAGCATCAGCAGATTATTCTACAAAGCAAGAAAACACAGCTGTGAGAAGCCAAAGGCTTTGTGATTTGGTAATTTTAAACAACCCTCATAATAAGTAATTTGATTCCAATTTTGATGTTTAATAGTATAATGCTTTATAAAATCCCATCTCTATAATAAGTAGTCTTGAATTCAAAGTTCATTTTCCTTGCTATCTGGTAATAAGGTGGAGTTATCTCCATTATGCAAATCAGGCTGATTTACATTATCATATGACCTAGAATCTCTAGACACAAGCCTAAAAAAGCACAAACCTGTACCAGGAAGCAGTGTCCAATTATCTTGGGAGGGTGGTCCAACTTTATTGGCACCAGAAGTGCCACACACTTCTACAGTGTTCTATAGGACATCCTAGGAAACACACTAAGCTGGAGGAGTGGGATAAGCATTGAGGGGACATTTTTTAACACCTCTGAAATCTGGCTAGAGAGAGCAGTGTTGAGAAACATGAGGATAAAATAGTAAAAATAATAATAGTGATGATAATAATAATAATAAAATAGTTCACATTTAGGGAACTGTATGTGCCAGATGCTATTCTAATCACTCCTTTCAAATATCAATTTGTTTTACCCATAAAACAGCTCTTTATGGTAGATATCATCTGCATATTACATGACAGATATGGTCAATAGTATTTATAAACATTACAAATGTTATCTGCCATATGATACCTGCCAGAGTCAAAGAGAAATGGGATCCTTGGTATATTTTAAAATTCCAGGTGTTGCATATAAATGTTTCATTTTCAAGTACCTTCTCAGCATAATGTTACTAAGATTACTCAGATTATCCATCAAAGTATAATGTGAAAAAAATACGAAGTATATTGCTTTCACTACATTTCTTACCACTGCTTGCAAAGTTCCTTTTTCAAAAATATGCTCTTTATTTGATTACCTCTAAATGTAATATATACCCTTTATTAAAAACTGTAGAGAAACAGAATTTGAACCGCAAAAGATTCTTGTAATGCTATACCTACTTCTCAGGAATAATCATTGCTGACCATTTGCTATATTGTACTCATCTTTTTCTTTGTATCTAAAAGAGAGTATACTGTATACGGTGCCCTGAAAGTTTTTAAAACATAATAGATTTTGGACATCTTTTAATGTCTGACATTAACAGTCTCCCTCAGTCCTTTAGGGTTCTATAACGTTCCAGCGACTATATCTATCACACTTTATTCAATTAATCACAAACTACTTGATAAATTCCTTTTTGGCACAATACGATACTGATTGTAATGTCGAGTCATTTTTCTAGAAGGCGATCCTAAATGCCACATAAGACGAGGTTCCTATCGCTGTGATATTAGGGGTTTCAAGGGAAAGGGTTCTAGAACATAACTACACAGAGGCCCCAACTCAGCACAACGAAGCCTTTACCCTCAGGTAGACAAGCAGCGGCGAAGACTTCCTCAGGCCCACCCACTCAGTTGGATCCACAGGAGCGCTGTAGAGCAGAGACTTGTTCAACTCGTTGAGGGGTATGTCTGTTTCATTCTCATTTGGCTGAAAAGAAGAGAAAAGGAATTGGCTCCACAGATTAGGAGAGTTCAGGTGATTCTCCTTCAGTTTTGAGCATAAGAACATGAGGGAGATGGGAGGGAAAGACCCATTTGAAAGGGAAATCTCATCGGGAACAGAGGCTTGGGCCCAGCATTCTAGGCCAGAATGTATCCAACCTGCTGAGGTGATTTAATGGCCAGGCAGAATGTGCTTGGGGATGTAGGTTCCCCAATATCCACCTCGTTTCCCTAAAGGCCAAAAAAGATTCCCCGTCTTTGAGGCTCACCAAGGAACAGTTAACAGAAAAAGTCTCAGGCTTAATGGTTTGCAGCTGGTACAACATTTTGCAGACGATGATCACACATGTCCAGACAGTGCAGACACTTGAAGCCAGACGGCGTAGCTTGGTGTATGGCAGAGCAAAAGCCCAAGAAATCAAAAATACATAGTTGAACACAGACACCTGAAAACATAAAATCAGAAATGGGGACAAAAATACATCACATGGCATAACATCCACAAAACATGGCAATTTGATTTATTCAGTTCAGCTCAGTTCAACAGAAGTTGATTGAGTTCTGAGCATGTGTAAGGCATTGCCCTAGATGCTAAGATATATGTCTTGTATGGCAGACAGATATATAACCAGATGATGTCAATATAACGTAGCAGTAATAAACTATAGATGCAAACAGGCTCCCGTGAGAATACCCAGAAGGGGTCCCTGGCCCCATCTGGGGCTTCAGGAAGCATTTCCTGGAAAGAATGATGCTGAGCTGATCCTTGAGAGGTGCATAAAGTCAGCCAGGCCAAGAAAGTGAAAAGTGCATTTGAGATAAAGTGTGTGTGAGCATAAAGGAGTGTGGTGGCAATAGGTGACCATAAACAACTGGGAGTTCCAGAGTTGAAAGCAGTGAACTGCAGTATGACACTGAAGATGTGGCAGAGGGTTTTGACAGACCCTTTTAAAAATATGCTGTGGCCCATGAACCCCTTGTGTAGAAAATAGTGAGTCTGAAGGACTCTACGCAGGGAAACCTTAAGGAAAGATTAGCATTTTATTTAGATCCATGTAACTGAAGGACAGAGGTGCATCAATGGGGTTAGACCAGAGGAGAGGAAACCAGTCACATGCACTATAATAGGCCAGGAGAACAATGATAAGAAACCGAACTCAGACAGTGGAGCAGAGATAGGGAGGACTCATGGATTTGAGATGGGAAGTGAAATCAGCGAGATTTAATGATTGATTGGCTTGGAGGTGGGGTGCTGGTAGGTCAGGTAGAAAGCCTAAGGAATGCCTCCCAGTTTTCTGGCTTGATAGAATAACAGTGCCACTACTGAGACAGGTCTGAAGTGAGGGGCAGGTGTAAAGAGAAAAGGCAAGGCCCTGGCAGGGTATCTCAGTTGGTTAAAGCATCATCCTGAAATGCCAATGTCTCAGATTTGATCCTAGGGTCAGGGGACATACAAGAGTCAACCAATAAATACATAAATACGTGAAACAACAATCTCTCTCTCTCTCTCTCTCTCTCTCTCTCTCTCTCTCTCTCTCCCCCCCCCTTCCTCACACTCTCTAAAAATCAATAAATATATTTTTAAAAAGAGGGAAGACAATGACTTCAACTTGGTTTAAGACTCTGAGTATTTGTTGATTAGGTGAGATATGTACTCATGTATAACAGTTCTCCATAGCTAATCATTCACTCAATGGTATAGAAGCACTACCATCTTATTCAGCCATGGAAAATGTTTATTTATTCTGGGTACTATTAGAATAATATCTGAATATTATTAAAATAATTTCCTAGGAATATTTAATATTACCAGGTAAAAATAACTGCATGCAGTCAATTGACAAACTTAAACATGTACTACAAGTGCTAAGTGCTATGGGCTATGAGGTATGGTTCCTGTTTGGCTCACAAATCTAGACAGCAAGAAACATGGAGACTCCAGGGCAGTATTAAGTCTGCAGTTTGTAACGTACTACTCTAGTTAACTACTAGACACTGTCCAGAGCAAGGAACTGCTTAAAATTAAGTGCTGAAATCTTAGGGTAGTAAGAGCTGCCTTACATAGTTAATTGAGGATGAAAGAAATACTGTATGTAGAAGTGCCCTGTAAATGTAAAGCATTCACCACCAAAATAAATGTTAGCATTTAACAAAATATTTTGACTAGCTAGGTGACTCCTCCTCCGCAGTTATCAGCAAGTGGTATGTTAAAAAGTAAGTTCTAGTAAGGATATTATAAAATTAAGTCTCCTTGTTATTTTTTATTACGTATTTAAGGCATTAAGAATAAAAATAGTACAATAAAATTTTAGAGGAAAAAGAGAAGAAAAAATATTATCTTTTATTAAGTCCTAACTAGGTTCAAGGTAACATATCCTGTGTGGATCCCTGTCTTCAAGAAACACATGGGGTCATGAAAGCGAGAACTGGATAAACAGCCTATGACAACATGACAGAGGAAGTGCCCTGCTGGGGTGAGCTGAGTTGTGTGGGCGCACAGGGCTGATCATCTAGCCCAGCATTGGGGAAAATTGCCCAGAGGACCTGAGGTCAATCAGGAGTTAGCCTGGCAGAGGAATCACTAGCCCAAGGCCTTACAGGCAAGAGAAAGCATGGGGTGGACATCTTCAGAGAAGCACATAGTTTACCATGAGAGCAGTGTGATCTGAGTCCATTGTAGAGGACTTTGAAATTTACCAGGCAGATTGGGTGTCTAGGAAAGGAAATGGCGAAGTGGTGTAGGACCAGATCAGTGTTATATCATGTTATTGGGAGAATGACAGCTGTTGAAAGTTTTCAAGTAGAAGACTAACATGAGCATGCTGAAAAGATTATTCTGACTGTGTGACAGTATATGTATTAGGATGGAGGATTAGAGCAGAGCTGGGGATCTGTTAGAGCAATTGAAAAAGGGGACCGATATGGATAGAGGCAATGAGCTCCATGTTAGAGATATTCAGTGAAGGTGCTTTGGGGACAGGCAAGAGTGAGGTCATGTTCAGGTTCACCTGGGGATATGAGAATGGAGTTCAAAGAGGATACTGGTTGAAGACACAGATTTACAACTCACTGCATGTAGATGGCAGGTGAATCATAGGAGCTCACCCAGAGAAAGTCTAGAACCAGAAAAGGGGTGTGCAAATAGAACCTGAAGAACCCTAAGAGAGAGGCTGGAAGAGAAGGGCCAGAGCCATGGGGGGAGGCTGGGGATGTGTGCTGATTTAGAAAGCAAGAGAAGAGACAGTTTCAAGGATGAGAAAATGATCATCAATATCCAGTGTCACAGACAATCAAGTGAAATGAGGACTGAGCAGATTCCATGAAGTGGGTGTTTTTCATTTTCTCATTTTACAAAGAAGAAAACTGGGGCTCGGATAAGTGGGACACTTTGTTCAATGCGAATGTGGTTGATGGTGGTCTCATCACTTCCTTGGTGATAGGGATCTCATGGAATTCACAGTAAAAAAAGAAAGACAAATAGCTGGACCCCCACTAATACCCAACAAGTCAGAATTCCTAGGGAAAGGACTGATAATCCTATAGAATAAATGTCCAGGTGATTTTCATTATCAAAGAATTTTGGACAGTAATTTTATTCCATAATGCCTTCCTAACAAAACACTTTTACACAAGTTGTCATTTTATCTGAACATAAACTTATGAAGCTTGGAGCCACTGCCTTGAGAGAGGAGCCTCCAAGAACTGTGGTTCCTGGCCCTGTGCTTACCCACCCCTCCCTCAGAGAACCCGCAACTTCAATGCAACCTTCTGCATGTGATCTATCTCCCTCCCTGTGTGCCCAGAGCTTCTAGGGGACACCTGTAACCCAATAGTTAATGTGACTTTGGTTTTATTTACCAGCCATTACCATCAGACTGCAAGCTGAGACCAGAAGTGTTTTTAATGCTTTTATACCAGCATCTAGCACAGTGTAAGTATTCAATGTATTGTAATTTATTATAAGCATATAATAAAGGCTAAATGCATGCTTAGTGAGAGTGAAAGTAATAACCAAAATAATAACAATGAAACATCATCTGACATTTCGGAGGAATCTCAAACTTGCAAAGTTCTTTACTTCCTTCCTTCTGTCAGTAAACATTCATTGAGCTTCTACAATTGGCCATTCCTTCTGGGAGTTACTAAAGATACTAGAAGAAATATATGGCCCCTTTCCTCAAAGAATAACTTGATCTCCTAGAGCACTCTAGGAGCCTTAGAAGGGATAAATAACTGTTACATATTTTTAAATTAGGTCATTCCAAAGTGGCATCATTCCTCAGTAAGGAATGTTGATATGAGACAGGTTTCTGTAACAAATTCTTTCTCAGAGTCCTCTCCTCCCTTGGATGCCCATAATGATAACCCTGGAAAGGTTTAGTATTTGTGGTAGAATGACCATGAATGTTTGTGAAAACAAGCTCCCTGGCTGATGGCCTTGGCTGAGGATAGTTTGAATCCAAACAATGTGGTCACACCTCTTAAAGATTTAACTGGGGATGCGGACTTAGTTCTCATTTTGCCATTTACTGATCAGCAATTTTTGAGAAAGGATATATTTTGCATTAATCAAAAGTAATGAACTACAAATAGCAAGTGTCATTGCTGTCTTGTCTCAAAACATCTATATATATAAAAGGTTAATATGCAAAGTGTCCCCTTGGGAGTTCGACCGCTCACTATGATGTGCACTGACCACTAGGGGGCAGCACGGAATGAAGGAAGGCCCCAGCTGGCAGCTGACAGCCTGGGAAGGGAGGCCCCAGCTGGCAGCTGGAAGGCCCCGATTGGCCCTGATCACTGGCCAGGCCTAGGACCCTATCTGTGCATGAATTTCATGCATCAGGTCTCTAGTCCAATAATAAATAAGGTGAACTCTACTAATAATTTTATTAAATTTTGGAGCCCAAGTTTATTCTTTGGTAACATAAACTATTGTTTATTTCTCCAAGAGAATTTGGGGAGATAGATTTTCTCACTCATAGTACAGAAAGGCAGCTTGCTCTCACCACTTCAACTAATGAGAGCAAGTCACCTTTGTCATATGACCAACCCAATTAGGAACTAAGCCAGGAGCCTTTTTTTTCCCCTTCCTTCAGGACAACTGTCCTTTTTCTTTTTTGTAAAATAAAGTGTATGTGCCTATCTTAGTTCTTGATGTTCTAATGTATTGGGAATTACAGGTCCAAAAAATAATAGACAGTTGGAAAAGAAAAATAATGCCCCACTGTTTGACCTGACGATGCAACAAATGTTCACTTGCCTCTTTCACAGAGACCCAGATGATGTATGATGAAACAATTTTGATGATGTGCAACTCCAAAATCCACCACATGAACACCTGCAGCTTGTGGAAGTACTCCAGGAACTTGAGGAAGAGCACTGTGAGGCGGTCAATCACCAGGTGCCATTTGTTCCTTAAATCTGCAAAACAGGAATTCACCCAAGAACATACAAAAAGTGGGCATGTTTGTTTCGTGTGTGTGTTTTTGGGAGGGAGGCATTGTTATTTCAAGCATATCTTGTAATGTTCAGTTTGGAATAAGAAAATGCAAAATAAGAGTAGTGGGTAAACTCTAAGACTACCAAAATCTGGGGAAGGGTAGTCTAAGACTCCCATGTGGTGATGATGACTTAGGCAGCATGTCCAGGGACAAGGTTCCTTTTATCTCCCTTTTAATTTAATTAATGTGAAGAAGAATCTTGACCCGATTATCTCTTAAAGCTGAACTATGATTCCCTAATTTCCTGGGAATGTTAAGTAACACGAGCTCAATCTAAATGACATTCTTATTGCCACAGTCATGCTTCTGTAAGTGCCATGCTCCTCCCAACGGCTTGGCTAGAGAGTGGGGAAAGCTCTCGGTGGCCTGCGGGAGCAGCCAGGCAGCCGGCTGCCCGAGGTGGGAAGAGCCTGCTCCCCTGGCAACAGCAGGTGAACGCTGAGCATCAGCGTGACCCAGCCTCAGTTCACAAAATGTGGTCAGGCTCATTTTAATCATAGCTTCCAATCAAATTAGTCGTTTTCTTCTTTCTGCCTTTGCAAATGGAACAGAAACATTTCACTAGAGCAACCACAACACCACACCCCAATTTTTGTTTTACTCCATGGGTCTAACATGGATCTGTTTGGTGCAAGTCTGTGCTTCATTCGCTGGTCTGTCTGCCACCATGTCCTAAGCAGCTCCCGGTAGTGAGTGAATTACCTGATGTCTCTTCCTCCTCTTCATCTTCTTCTTCCTCCTCCTCCTCGCTGTCTTTCCCAAGTTCACCCTTCTCCACTTTTTCAGAGCATCCCTCTGGTTTCTCCTCACCAAACTCAGCCCCCTGCTGCCCCTCCAGCTTCTCCGGGCTGGCGGTCAGGTTCAGCATGGCGAGGTCTGGCAGGCTTCCTTCAGGGTGGGCCAGCCTGTTGGCAGAGAGCAGCGGAGTCAGGAGGGGCAAGGAGGCTGGGAGACAGCCGAGTGAGTAAGGGGCGTGTTACAGGAGGAGAAACAAAAATGAACATCAGTGCATTTGCACAGGCCTTGCGAGGTGGGGTGGTTAGCCTCTTGTCACTTTTTTTTTAAAAAAAGCTTTTTCTAAAACCAAACTGTAAACTCACTTAGGTTTTGTTATCTCTTCCAATTCAGGTGGTAGTGATTAGTCAAGTCATGAGAGCTCTTGACACCTAAACTTGACATTTTTCCCGGAGGAGAAAATGGTCAGAGTTTAGGATGTAGAAGCATGAAATGGTGTCATGTAGAGCAAGCATTTCATGGCTTCACAGGGGGACTTACGCATTTTGGTGGATTGGTAATTTTTTCTTGATGCTGCTCAAAGTAATTGAAATAGAAAGGAAAAAAAAAAAGATGAGAACAGAAGAGTTATAAGGACTATCAGAGATCACACATCATGCTACGTATCATCCACTATGTGCGGCTGCGGGAAGTGCTAACGCAAATGCATTCCAGGCTGGCATCAGCAGCGTGCATGTGCTGGGGACCCTGGGCTTGGCAACTGGTTTGAGAGTGGACAGGACAGCAGGTTGTCAGGGAGAGAACATATAAGCTACTGAGGCAAATCATGTCATGCTTTTTTAGTAACGCAGCAAACCATCCCCCAAGAACCAAGTCATTCACATTTTATACAGGTTTTAAAAAGATTCTTAACGAATGTGTGCTTTCAGTCAACCTTTGCATAGACTCATCCCGTTCTGCCATCATTTCAAGCATATGCGGTGGGTGCTAAATGCTTCCAGAAGGGTGTCTGCATGATGTCCCGTTCACGGGCACGGATGTGACCTGCTGTGCTAGCCTCGAGAGAGGGCAGGGGAGCAGCCTCACCGAGCAGGGACAGCAGCCAGGGCATTGCAGCTGATTTCACAGTGGATAAGAACAAGTATGATCTATATCTTGATTTTTTAAAACATTCTTTTTTATTCGTATTCAAATGAATGTTTGAAGGAACACTTGTGGGTAACAGAGTAGGTATTAGGAAAAGGTCTGCTGGAGATCCTGGTGGTCTTCTCCATTTGTCATAATTAATCTATATATATCAGCTTCGTTGTCACAGGATAAACAATGAATAATGTTATCCTACCTGTATAATTGTGGGCTCTGAGTAAATTATTTATCCCTCCTGGGATTTAATTTATTTTCTCTAAAATGAGGATGTTTGGCTAGATAAAAATCTAAGCTTACTTGCAAATGGTTGGTTTTCTATTTGAAACAACACCAATGATGTTGGATAACTCTTGGAATGAATCTACATTGTCCTTCAATTTTCAGAAAGGTTATCATTCAAAAACAATTACTTAAAAATATTTTTATTGGTATTGAGAGAATGAAGAAGGGAGAGGGAGAGAAACATCGATGTGAGAACGAAACATCGATTGGCTGCCCTGACCGGGAATCAAATTGGCAACCCAACCAACTGAGCCCTGCCGGCCAGGGCAACCAACTAAGCCATGCCGGCCTGCTTGTTGTCAAGCAGGTAAATTAAATAATGCCAGAAACAAATTATTAATTGCATGAAGAAATAACATTCTAAGGATGTTCAGCCCTGGTGGAAGAAGTTAAGTGGACATATTTTCTAAAGCCAGTGAATGGACCCTACCACGTTTGGGAAAAGTGGCCCAGTCTTGAAACTGCCATATCAGATGTTAGACACCAGCACTGCACATCGCACCGCAGCGAGCACACTGCTGTCCCTGTTTCTCGGCCCTCTACCGAGCAAATGGTACCAAACGCAAAAGCAGTCGGGCGCTGCGGTTGCCAGTTGTCAGTATGTATATGTTCTCTTCAGCATTGCCAGCGGCTTGCATTTTGTAAGTGAGAAGATAAACATTTTTGTCACGACAGGGATTTCTAGCTTGTACTGTGGAAGCATGACCATCTCAGAGTGCGTTTCTAATGTCTCCGTCGACACTGCCATGGCTTGGTGCTGACAAAGAGCTTTCTAATAATGCGTGTTATTTATGGAGTAAAGCACAGAGATGAAGCTGTTTCTGCACCTGCTACTGTGGCTACATAACAAAAGTCCTCAAGCAACAAGGCCCCAAAGTGCCCTTCCACACAGGGTATACTGAGTGGAGTTTATTGAATGAAAGACTCAAAGAAAATACAGTTTTCTTTCCTGAGTCTCCAGGGAAGAATGCAGACCTTCATTTAGCCTTTCCCCCCACAAGCAAATGAAAAAGAAAGGATCCAGATTTTTCAAGCTACACTAAAAATCACACTCTAGGACCAACATTCCCTGAAACGTTTGGCTAAGGAACTTAAAGCACTGGTATTTTTTTTTTTTTTTTTTTTACTGATTATCACGTGTGAATTACCGAATCATCATATGAAGGGTTTCTATTTCAGGTCTCCAAATAGCCCTCTCCCTCCTACTTCCATCAATCCCACTTTTTTCATGCCTTTTCCCACGGGAGCTCATTTTCCTCTCTGCGTTTTCTTTAACCATGCTCATAACTGTGTTGCCTTGTTTTTATCATGATTCAGGCTCTGAGCATTAATCCTCTCACTATTTCTTAAATAAAATAAAAGTTCTCTCCCTGACTGTTCTTTTGCATTCTAACAAAACAGATGATATTTATCTGTTTATTCACCCTCTCTTTCCTTCATGATTACACAGCCCTTTGTGTGTGTTTCTCTATTTATACCAACATCATTTTATTCTAATTATTATTCTGAGGACTCTCTCCTGGAGGTCAGAAATCCAGTCGTACTCTACTCATATCCCTTGCAAAATTCAGCATTAGGCTTGGCATACACTATGATTCATTGACTGGTGACCAAATTCTATGCATTGGAGAGGCATTTTTTGTTGTTGTTGTTAATCGTCACTGGAGGATATTTTCCCCTTGATTTTTAGAGAGGGTAAAAGGTAGAGAAAGAGACAGAGAGAAACATCAATGTGAGAGAGACACATCGATTGGTTGCCTCCTGCACATAACCCGACCAGGGCAGGGGAACCTGCAACCAAGGTACATGACCTTGACTAGAATCAAACCCAGAACCCTTCAGTCTATGGGCTCAGCTCTATTCATTGAGTTAAACCATCTAGGGCGTCTATGGGCCAAGTTCTATCCACTGGGCCAAACTGGCTAGGGCGAGGCATTCTTATTTGAAACAGCAGAAACAGGTTATGTTACATGAGAATTAAAGAGGCTTAATTCTGTACAAGAATTTGATGTTGAAAAGCCACATATTAAGTTAGTTCCCATTAAAGAAAATGTGCCTTATTTTTTATATGTGGGAGAAATACCCATTGCTCCCTCTAAAGTATTCTAATACATACTGATTACCAATTCAGTTGGATCTTCCCCACAATTCTTCATGTCATTGAAATGTCATCAGTCACCTATTCTCCTCAACACTTTGCCTTGCCTCCTACCTTATAAGATGATGTCTACATTTTAATCAACCCAGAAATTGATTGAATGCAGCTAACCCACTTTCATTGGGGACTTAAAAGCACAACAGTGAGCGTAAATAAATTATGGGAAAAATAAAGTTTCTTTACTTAATAAAAGCATTCACCTTATCATTCTAATCAAAAGTAGGTTTTCTTCAAAACTGAACACACGTACTGCCTTTCAGAAGCATATGTTCCTAATATACGGAGACGGAAGATGATTTGACTTTGGGTGGTGGGCACACAGTGCAGTATACAGATCTTGTAACATAGAACTCTACAGCTGAAACCTATCTGATCCTATTAACCAATGTCGCCCCAATAAATTTAATTTTAGAAAAACCCTCAAGAAGCACATGTTATCAAGTGAGAGACGAGTTTGTTTGGTAACGTTTCTTTCTGGGCATAGCTCTGGCCTTTATTAACATGCTAACACTCAGACAACAGTGAAAGATTCCACTAGGAAGAGGATAGTGCCAATGTTGGAATACTTGGGGTTTTTAATCATTTTGAATGTTGATCATTCTGGGACTCCTGAGTGAATTCAGGGGCCTGGTGACTTGGGGTAACAAGCGTAAGTTTCTCTCAAGAGATAAGTCTCGGGCAATCAGGACCGAAACTTGCATCAGGCTCTGCCTACCTGGCCCATAAACCAATTCCTGTCCTCTTTGGTGTCCCTGCCATCTCCTCATAAAGCAAGTGGTAAACACTTTATGAGAAACACAAAGAGAGAAAGAGATAATAGTCCCTCGTGTTTTGAGGAATGAGATTTAAATACTTGCTCAAGATTTCTAGCTAGAGTCTGTATTTTACTTCTGCACCTATCAGCTAAAATTGGAGGTTCACTTTGCTCTCTCAGGTTGTCAACAAACTGGCTTCTGAAAGCAACTAGCCAGTCCTCATTCCTCCTTCTTTCGCAATCTGCACAAGGATGCACTAAATTTTCGCACTTCCTTTTAGAAGTTCTACCCCCTAAGGTTTGCTATTGGGTTGTCAGCCTTGGGATTTTACCTAAGAGAAAAGTGACTAGAATAAAAAAACCTCTTTCAAAGAGGCATATTAATTGGATTTATTGCAAGATAAGTGTTTCTATTACTTAAATTATTGGTTTTATTACTAATGACATGAAGTTTGGGAAGTGGATATTTTAATTGACCCAGTCAATAAAATAAGAATAGTTTTAGTAAATGAGATGCCAAAGGATCTTTACTCTGAACTGTTGGGGCACTTGAGGACAAATATATACACAATACTATCAATGCCACTCTTTGTGGTCACTTGCATTTTTTTTTATCTCCCCAGCTAGGTGACGTGCATCTAAGATAGGGTTGTGTCTCAGTGTCTGTCTTTGTGCCTTTTGTGTTACGTAAATATATTGTGAAATCTGGTGATGTAAAATATCATTCTTCAATATGTAGAGCTATATTTGAAAAAAATCGATGTTTTAATTTTTTTTTCACCATGCACTGTTGTGACTACTTTCACTTCATTTAGTAAATATCAACTGAGGGTCAACTAATGGGTAAGGCCCCAAGGTAGGTGATATGTGGATACCTTGGTGATTTATACAGGGCCTTCAGGCCTGAGGAGCTGACACCGCTGACCAGGGAGAAAAGACAAGCAGGCAGCTAGAGGGCTGGGAGGCAAGTGTTGGGAGGCAGCGATCAGAAAGGGCCATGGGAATTCAGAGGAAGGACAGTTACTTTTAGCAGGAAAGCTGGCGCTTATGGGCAAGTCTGTGGAGGAGGTGGTTCTTGAGCTGAGCTCTCAATTATGTGTTGAAGAGAAAGATGAGCTCCCAGGCCAGCCTTGAGCTAATTCTACCAAAGAAATTTGAACAAAGACCAAAGGCTGAGTGAGCACCAGCTGAAGACCCTCATCAACCTCCTCCGAATCCACTTGGCGGCACCATTTGGAATAAACACCAAATGGTTTGATTTGCAAAAGTACATCCATGAGCATACCTGAAGACCATTGTCCACTATCTGAGGACATAACTTTTCAGTTACAAAACAGTTAGGTGTTTAACATACCAAGAGACCCTTCTTAACAAAAACAAGAGAGAAAACAGTGAAGTACCCACCTATTGATTATTAGATATACACGCCCATTGACTTTGGCATGGCTACGAGGTGAGAGGTGGAAGCACAAGGTTGCATGTGGTGGCAATAGAGAGAGAGGGTGGAGAGAGAAAGGAGATTGTTAGACAGAGACGAATAAAGCAGATTGTGTTTTGTAAGCATCCCATCATCAGGTATGTCATCAACACACATTTCAGGCACCCCAAAACAGATAGCAACATCCAATAGCAACATGAAATTAGACATGTTCAGGAAAAATATAACAAGTCTCTCCATTCTTCTCATCCCTTCCCATCTTACATACCTAATTAAAAATTTGTAATGTTTACATTTTCAGAGTATCCCTATCAAATAAAATACAATCTCAAGGATTAATTCTTACTCCTTTTCCAGAATTAAAAAAAAAATCCTACTAGATAACCATATTCACCATATTGTTCTCTAAGGTTTTTCTATAAGAGAAGCTTAAAAAAAGTCTTTTTATTTCTATATGCATCACAATACCTTCAAATTTAAGACAAATTGCAGTGGTGGATATTTAAATAAGTAATGAATATTTAGTACATTATTATTAAGTATATATTATATCAGAATTATAACTGTGGTATGATATTATATATTTTTATCAATATATGAGCGAAATGATAGTCCTGAGAATACCAACTTAGAAATAATGATATTCTCGCATGTATTTCATAAAACTTTTTCATGATGCTGACTTTACAAATTTGGTACAGCTAAGCACAATAAATTTTGCTCCAGACATGTGACATTTCCCAACACTACCTATGTGTACAATGCACATAAAACACACACGCAATGGACAAAATGGGACAAGGACAGTTGGATATTTACAGAAACAATAGTGCTTGCACCAATTTAAGGAACACAACAATTTGATTATTCCCAATTTGTGGGCCCTCTTTATTAAGGCATCTATGAAGGAGGTGGGAGAGAGAAAGCAAAGCATGACAGTTAATCCAAGTTCTGAAAATATTGTTTTCTTTTTTTTAAATATATTTTTATTGATTTCAAAGAGAAAGGGAGAGAGAAAGAGAGACAGAAACATCAATGATGAGAGAGAATCATAGATTGGCTGCCTACTGCATGCCCCACACTGGGGATCAAGCCGCAATCTATGATGCGCCTTTGATTGGAACTGAACCAGGGACCCTTCAGTCTGCAGGCCCGATGCTCTATCCACTGAGCAAAACCAGCTAGGGCGTGAAAATGTTTCTTCTTCTTCTTCATCATTTCAAATTTAATGTAGTCAATGATTAGGACTCCAGAGACAATAATAATCATAATAATCATAGTAATAATAATAATGTGAGGTGCACATTATAAG